TGGCTCAGCTTGAAAACCTCTCCCTTTCCCCTCAGCATGGCTGGCTCAGGAATTCTGGGAGTTGAAGTCCACGAGTCATAAAGCGACCTAGGCCTAGACCAGGGGTAGGCAACCTTGGCTCTTTTATGACTCGTGGACTTCAACTCCCAGAATTCCTGAGCCAGCCTGGCTCAGCATGGAAACCTCTCCCTTTCTCCTCAGCATGGCGGGCTCAGGAATTCTGGGAGTTGAAGTCCACGAGTCATAAAAGAGCCAAAGTTGCCTACCCCTGAACTAAGTCTTGTCCCCTAATTTGGGGTGGGTGGGCGAATGAGGCCTCGAGCGCTTTCCTCCGCCGTGGACCTGGCAGGATGGGGGGAGGGGGGGCTCGGGATCTGGGATCTCCCCCGTTTGGGGAGCAACCAGATCGGCTGCCGTTTGGAGGCGGCAACCCCCCCTGAGCTCGGCAACTCGGGGCTCGCTCAAAACAAGCGAGGGGGGAAATCGTCCCAAGTCCGGCAGAGTCCGGCGGGGCTCTTGCCAAGGCGCTTGAGTCCGGCGGGGCGTCCCTCACAACGGGGAGACCTCCTTGTCTTCGTTGGCCGAGGCCGGAGAGAGCGACTCTTCGTCCTCGGACCTGGCGAAGCGGCCCGGGTTGCCGGCGCAGCTGCAGCCGCCGTGCGTGTTCCGCTGGGCGCCCTTGCCTTCCTTCTTGTGCTTCACCCGCCGGTTCTGGAACCAGATCTTCACCTGCTTCTCCGACAGGCTGAGGTACGTGGCGATCTCGATCCGCCGCAGCCGCGACAGGTACATGTTGGCCGAAAACTCCCGCTCCAGCTCCAGCAGCTGCGTGCTGGTGAAGGCCGTGCGCATCCGCTTGCCGTTCTGCAGCGGGCCGGCGCCGTCCGAGCCTCCTGCGAGGGGAGCCGAGGGGAAAAGAAGGAAGAAGGAAGAAGAAAGGAAGAAAGAAGAAAGAAGAAAAAAGAAGGAAGGAGGAGGAGGAGGAGGAGGAGGAGGAGGAGGAGAAAAAGAAGGAGAAGAAGAAGGAGGAGGAGGAGAAGGAGAAGGAGGAGGAGGAAGAAGGAGGAGGAAGGAAGGAAGGAAGGAAGGAAGAAGAAGAAGAAGAAGAAGAAGAAGAAGAAGAAGAAGAAGAAGAAGAAGAAGAAGAAGAAGAAGAAGAAGAAGAAGAAGAAGAAGAAGAAGAAGAAGAAGAAGAAGAAGAAAGAAAGAGAAAGAAGGAAGGAAGGAAGGAAGGAAGGAAAGAAAGAAAGAAAGAAAGAAAAAGCCCGGTTAAAAAGCCCAACAAGAGCTTAACCCATCCTGGACCACAAATCCCTCGTTGCGCTTCAACCTCCGCCCACCTGAGCAACTGGACCCGAAGCCCGGCAGCAGGACAGGGAGGTATCCCCCTCTCCCCGTCCCTACAATACACACACACACACACACACACACACACACACACACACACACACGGACATTCTCTCTCTCTCTCTCTCTCTCTCTCTCTCTCTCTCTCTCTCTCAAGTCTTCCGCTGTTGCTTCTCAATTCCTGCCAATTACAGTGAAAATGCCTTTGAACATGGAGGCTTCACACAATCTCCTTGGCCGGTCTAAAGCCCCTGCGGTCAGTTCGCCTACGACCCCCTGGAAGTTAGTTGTTACTTGCCCCGGGCTGAATAAAGACTTTCTCCCACATCTCCGCTATGGAGAGTGCGAGTTTTGCTATGGTGCACCAGAGGGGGAGGGGGTCACCCATCCCTTCTCTTTCTTTCTTTCTTTCTTTCTTTCTTTCTTTCTTTCTTTCTTTCTTTCTTTCTTTCTTTCTTTCCTTTCTTTCTTTCCTTCCTTCCTTTCTCTCTTTCTCTCTCTCTTTTTTCTTTCTTTTCTTTCTTTCCTTCTTTCTTTCCTTCTTTCTTTCTTTCTTTCCTTCCTCTTTCTCTTCTCTTTCTCTTTCTCTCTCTCTCTTTCTTTCTTTCTTTCCTTCCTTCTTTCCTTTCTCTGTTTCTCTCTCTTTTTTCTTTCTTTTCTTTCTTTTCTTTCTTTTCCTTCCTTCTTTCTTTCTTTCTTTCTTTCTTTCTTTCTTTCTTTCTTTCTTTCTTTCTTTCTCTCTCTCTCTCTCTCTCTCTCTCTCTCTCTCTCTCTCTCTCTCTCTTTCTTTCTTTCTTTCTTTCTTTCTCTTTCGCCAAATGGAGATCACGCGGATTCCTTTCCTCGGTCCAAGAACAGAGATCTCTCCACCTTAAGACCCACCGCCTCCCATCCCTTAAGTTCCAGGTTGGAGTTATTCGATGGGAAACATCAGGCGTGTTTCTTTTTTTTTTTTTCTTTTTTCTTTTAAATCTTCTGGCAGGGCATCCTTCCAGGAGAAGGCTGGAAGTCTGTACGTCCTGGGGGGTGGCTGGGACGCATGGGGTTTAAAACCCGCAAACATCTGGATGGGTCTGACGGTTCGCCTTTCCCTCAGTCCAGAAGGCCCTGCTGCCGGATCGGTGGCGTTCCTCCTGGAAGGGTTCTTGGGATAACCGAGAATTCCCGGTCCCTGCGTCGGGCTCTCTGCTCTGCCCGGAGGAGCAGCTTCTCACCTGACCGCGCGGGGAAGGGGAGCGCCTTCCTAGCGCCGGCTGAAACCTGCCCTTGAAATCCGACCTAAAGACCCCAGATCTCTCGGGGATCCCCAAGGAACCCAAGAGGACGAGGGAATCCCGGGGAGATTCAAGGGGCCAGTGGAGAGCGGGAGAGGGGGCATCAGCGCCCGGCTGCCGGGTCCCCAGCGCAGGTCCTCCACCCTTCCCTCCTTCCCTCCTTCCCACAGCCCGGGGCAGGACCTACCCAAGCCGAGGCAGTGGAAACGCCGGGGGTCGCCCATGCCGTAGGCGGCCGCTGCGCAGACAGGTGGGTGGCCCAGCGCTTGGGCCGCCGCCGCTGCCGCCACCGAGCCGGGCTGCTGCTGCTGCTGCGGGGCCGGCTGCTGCTGCCCGTGGCTCATCCGGGGGCAGAAGTGGCCCTCGCCGCCCGGCGCGAAGTGGCCCTTGAGCAGCGGCAGGGCCACGGTGGCTCCCCCTGCTCCTCCTCCTCCTCCACCGGCCC